CTACTACTATAGATGAAAGATTTTCATCGCTACTGATCTCGTACAGCGACTGGGATTTTTCCGCAATACGCTGATATTCCAATCACGTGGATCTTTCAAGATTTGAAACCTTGATATCCAATCCCCAATTTTTATGGTTAATACCCGATCTTCAGGACAACCCGTCTCTGTACCTGACTTTACTGCTCGAGTAACTCCACCAAGAATTCATACTATTACACCTGTCTCACACTCTAATTCCAATCCTTCACCTTCATCCTCCTGTTTTTACTCCCCAACTTCGTTTCCAACAATGTCGAGCGACAATCCTAATATTCCTCCCTCTGATAATAATCCGTCTGATAATGATCCACCTATCCCTCCTCTGGACCCAGTCCCTCCTATTCCCACCACTACTTACGCCCCCATCTATCCCTCCCTTCCCTCCTTCTCATTTCCAAGTTATATTCCCTCTGGCCCGACTGCCTCGACTTCTTTTGTTCCGCCTCCGAAAGTCCCGACCCCCCACTCCACTCATCAAACTGATGCAGCGTCGTCTCGATCCGACCAGAAAGTTGACGATGAAGGCGAGAAGCAAGACACTGACGGTCCTTCGGGCTCCTTTGACGATCTCTTGGATCAGGCCTTCAAGAAGAATGGTTTGAAGGGTTTCAACGACGACCTTCTCAAGTTCCTTCTCCTTCGCAACTTAATGGGAGACAAGTCCAATGCCGATTCCTCTCAGTCGGCGGTGGCAAACTTACTCAAGTGGCAACAGCTTGGGAAGGATGTTCAACCCTCGTTGTCGATTGATGGATCGAACTTCCCCTTATGGTCGGCGTCACTAAAGGACATTGTCTCGTCGGTTACCAAGAATCCGGATTATTTCAAGGAGGACTTGTCGGTCAAGGATCCGGGGACTTCGTTTGGCGTCGTGGCGTTGATGAAGAACTCTGTCGACTCGGCGCTACGCTCATCGCTCAACGGGATGACCGCGTATGGGGCCTGGACTTCTCTCAAGGGGCGATTTGCCAAACCCTCCTGGTCGCTTCTCCTTAGTCGTTGGTCTGACGTTGCGCAGGCCCCAGACGCATCAGATTCCATTTCATCCAGCTATGAGTCTTTAAAGAGGAGCTGGCTTGACCTTGAGGAGCGGCTGGGGGGGCTGACAGCAGATAAGTTGCTGTCCCTCTCATTTCATTCTAGCCTCAAAACCTTCAAGCAACCGCTGACCGACGCCATCAATTCGCGACTCGCCATCAAGCCGGACATCAACATCGGATCCGAAGAAATCCTCAGCATGGCATGTCAACTCCATCAATCGGCGTCGTCGGCTTCTTCTTTGATGGGCATGTCTTCTCAGCGTGGTTCTAGTTCTGGGCGCGGCTTTCGTGGACGTAGTTTTGGCTCTGGCAAAGGCGGTCGTGGCATTGGGCAGTCAAATCCAACGAACCGATCAACAGCACGATCTGATCCCCCCGCTGACTCGTGGGGTCAGAAATATCTTACGGCGGCTTTCCCTTGCAACATGTGCTGGGAGTGGGGTCACTGGGCTCAGGATTGTCCTAGAGTCAAACGTGGACTCCCTCCTTTAGACGACCCTCGAACAGGCAACCCCGGATGGCAGCCGAAGAAGTCAAATGTTCTGTCCGGAAGGCTGGTTGTTTCGGATGGAACACTTGCGTCCGTCTCGGCTAGCCCTGACAAGGCCGGTGATATCTTGTGTGACACGGGCGCTACCAATCATGTAACGTCTCAATCTGAGTTCTTCACTTCCCTTCGTCCAGCTAACATTCGACTACGTGTGGCATCCGAAGAATGCATTCCCGTAGAAGGAATCGGTGATGTCAAGATCCCGACTGCTCATGGCTACCTCTCTCTCTCCAATGTTCTCTTGTGCACACGGGTTCGGGGCACTGTCTTATCGGTTGGTTTTTTGGCTCGGTTGGTTTCAGGAATGGGGTTTTTATTTTTTCCCAACGTGATTGTTCCTTTCCATCATACGCTGTGAGAACTCCTTTGGGAATGGTGGCAGTCCTGCGAGGGGGAAATAGCAGATGAGATATATCACGTATGTAATGATCTACTATAACTGTTACGGCTGGTTTGAAGGACCTGCCCCTCTATTGTACTACACAAGAGTTAACACAACAATTTATTTTATTGTTGTGGCAAAACTGATGATAGAGAAAACTATGTGTAGCAGTCTCTTATCAAACCTAGATCAACGTGGATTCAGCAGACTATTTGAGTGGAAATGTTGAGTAAGAGGTGTTTTGTTTATATGTTTATGTATTTTGAAAAAAATGATTGACGTATGTACTGATGATGAATGTGAATTTATGAGATGATATTGTGGAAAAAAAATGTGACTATTGAAAAGTGTCTTTCCCTTCCTCCTTGAATCTTAGTCAAGAGCACAATGGTTTAAGATCACTGTCTCTTGTTTAAGATCACAAGTTGTACTGGTTGCTACTTTCTTTTTCCTATGCTTCTCAATGTCTGAATGATCTCAATGGGCACTTGATTAAGATCACACTGGTTAATGTCTGGATTGATTGCTCTGTTCTGTCTGGTTGATGATCAGATGAGATGATGATCTGTTGTGATGAGATGATGAGATGAGATGATGAGATGATCTGATTGGAATGAGGGGGGGAAAGCCCCAACCGTTAAATAGTCTATTTTACAACCCGGCTGACTTGT